GTTAAGAGCACTGGCTGCTCTTCCAGAGGACCTGGGTTCAATTCCCAAGCACCCTCATGGCAGCTGTAATTCCAGTTCCAGGGGATCTGACACCCATGGCAAAACACCCATGCACATAAAATAAAAATAAATAAAAAATAATAATTATCTCTAGGACTGGGCAGTCGTGGTGCACGCCTTTAATCCCAGCACTTGGGAGGCAGAAGCAAGTGGATCTCTGTGAGTTCAAGGACAGCCAAGGCTACACAGACGCTGTCTCAAAAAAAAAAAAAAAAATCCCAAACAACAACAAAAAAAATTGTCTGTTTTTTTTTTTCCCCCCCCAGGCAGGTGGGACACTCTGATGTAGCCTTGAACCCACTGAGACCTTGAGCTGTTCCTCTTTCCTCTGCCTCCTGAATGCTTAGATCACAAACATGTTGATCACCATGCCTGGTTTCCGTGGTGCTGGAGATGCGACCTGGGACTTCCTGCATGCTAGGTAAGCACTCTGTCACCTGAGCTACAGCCCCAGCCCAGTCAACCTCTGGTCTTTATAGGGAGTTTACATCCGACATGGAAACACATACCTACCTGCTTCCATAAAGAGGCAGCCAGTGATCTTACCACAAAACTTACCAGAAAACAAATGGAAGAGACTGTGATTGCCGTGGTGGTAAAAGTTGATAGAGCAGTGGTCCTCAACTTTTGTAACGCTTCAGATCTTTAATACAGGTCCCCATCTTGTGGTGGCCCCCAACCATAAAATTATTTTATTGCCACTTGACAACTATAATCTGCTACTGTTATGAATTATAATGTAAATATCTGTGTTTTCCGATGATCATAGGTGACCCCTGTGAAACGGTCATTCGATCCCCTCCCCCCAGGGGGTCTTGAATCACAGGTTGAGAACTGCTGAACTCTTAGTAACTGGCCCTTAGTATCCAAGAATATATAAATCTGGAGCTGGAGGGATGGTTCGATGGTTAAGGGCCCGTATGGCTCTGCAGAGGAACCAGTTTGGTTCCCAGCACCCACATCAGGTTGCTCACAACTTTGCTATGACTCCAGGGCTGAAAGATCCTGTGCCCTCTTCTGGCCTCTGCAGACACCTGCACACGTGTGCACATGCAGACATGTGAACATACACATAGCTAAAAATAAAATATCTTTTTTTTCTGGGGGGGGGGGAGGTTAAGACAGGGTTTCTTTGTGTAACTTTGGAGCCTGTCCTGGAACTCACTCTGTAGACCAGGCTGGCCTTGAACTCACCGAGATCCTCCTGCCTCTGCCTCCCGAGTGCTGGGATCAAAGGCGTGTGCCACTACCGCCCAGCTAAAGTATCTTAAAAATATGTGTAAATCAGCCGGGCGTTGGTGGCGCACGCCTTTAATCCCAGCACTCGGGAGGCAGAGCCAGGCGGATCTCTGTGAGTTCGAGGCCAGCCTGGGCTACCAAGTGAGCTCCAGGAAAGGCGCAAAGCTACACAGAGAAACCCTGTCTCGAAAAACCAAAAAAAAAAAAAAAAAAAAAAATGTGTAAATCACTAGAACACCAACTAGGCTTAGGAGGAAGTGTGCAGAACACGGATCTTACTGTGTCTTTAAGACACTCAGCAATGTGTAGATGGTTATCGTTCAAAGGCAGAGATGATAACTCAGAAGTCACACGGTGTGTGTAGGAGACAGTGAGTGGCTGTTCCCAGAGTTCACCTTCTGCCCGCTCCTGAATACCTATCCTTTTATATTTGTCTTGAATCAAGTACTTTGGGGAAATGGTTCCAGTGTGGAGTCAATGTGACAATTTTTTTTTTTAATCTCAGCAAGATTTTGTGTGTTACTCAAGATGGATTCTGTGACCTTTTAGGTTTATTGAAAGAGGAAAGTATATATAAGATCAGTTCCAGGGGCTGGAGAGATGACTCAGCCGTTAAGAGCACTGGCTGTTCTTCCAGAGGACCTGGGTTCAATTCCCAGCACCTACATGGAAGCTCACAACTATCTATAACTCTAGTTTCAGGGGATCTGATGCCCTCACAGACATACAGGCAGGCAAAACACCAATGCACATAAAATAAACCAATAAAATGTTTAAAAAGAACAGTTCAAATAATACATCTGAATTACAGTAAGAAAGCGTCTATTCTCAAGTCTGAAAGAAGACATCTTACCAAGTTAAGAATCCTCCCCAGATTCAAATCTACTAAAAGAGAATTTTTTTAATGGAAGCATCACATAGACCTGAGTGTGGTGGTATTCACCTATAACCCCAGAACCTCAGAGACTGAGGCAGGAGGATCGATGGACTCAGCTTCTAGTCCTGCCTGGGCTATGGAAGGCCAGTCAGATTGCATAGGGAGAATTTGTCAAAAATGACCTTGGGGTGGGAGCTGGAGACATGGTTCTTGCAAAGGATCTGAGTTTGGTTCCCAGAAGCCACATCAGGTGGCTTACTGCTGCATGGACTCCAGTCTCAGGGCATCCGATGGCCTTTGGCCTCCAGGGGCTCCTGCACACTTGGTGCGTATTACCTCAGGAAAGCACAGGCACACGTAAGTATTTTTTTTTAATCTTGATGCAAGTGGAAACATTTTTCATTCCTCTTTAGTGCAATACCATGAAAACAACAGGCTGGCACACGAGCTTTTCCCTTTTTTCCATTTGTAACCCCCAGAATTGCATAATCAGGCAGGAATCAGGAAGTAAAAACAATCACAAAATTAAACTAAGCGGCCTGTTTCCATAACTCCATCACGAGTTAAAAAAATATATTTAAAAAGATAAACATATCAGCAGGTTCATCACACTTAAGAATTCTTTCCACGGCAGTCACAATGACAAGTGAAGTCACTACTCAGGCTTTTAACTCAGGGCTGTACTTGACATCTTTTCAAAATGTGGCAGAAACAAAATATCCCAGGCTGGCCTCAAACTCTACCTCCCAAGTGCTGAGATGATGAGCCCGGGGCTCGGCATCTCCTCTGTCCTTCCCTGTCCACCGTAACAGCCTCCGCATGTCAACCCTGCAAACTCCGAGATCTGTCCAGCAGCGATGGCCCGCTCTCCTTCGCTGCTGGCACCTACCCTGCTGGTTTCTGTCATTGACCGCAGGCGCCTTGCCGCTGGCATCGCGTGTCTTTTCCTTCTCTCAACATCCTCCGGGTTCATCCGCGTTCCTCCGTGAGGCCGGACACTGTTCTCTCCCACCTGCCCTCTCTGGGGCTGTTCTATCCGCAAACTCCTTTACGATCAAGCCTGGCGCTCCGAACGTAAACGTTCTGAAGATCGTATCTACCCTAGCGCCCCAGCGTGTAATTAAGTTATGGAAAAAAACGAATCAAGAGGCACATTCGGTTCTCTAAAGTGCCCAGAAATCAAGAGAGGCTTATAAAGTGACTGCACAATGTAGAACTTCCTCATCTCACAGCCATCAGGCCTGAGCAGCCTTTGGGTGCCCCCCCCCCCAGTAAAGGCTTCCCGGTGCTTTCTGCACGGTGCTGGGCCTACTCAACCGGTTCGGAGGCTCCTGGGCTCTGGCCCCGGGCGCCCTCCCTTCTGCAAGTCATTCTCGGAGCACTTCAGTTGAGGTGGCTTTACTCCTGTGTGTGGCGAGCATGCCTCCCCTCTCTGTCATGGTAACAGCCTCGTCTCCCATCCTTCATCCGAGAGGGAAAAGTACCAGCCCCTAATAGTAACAACGGTTTACAAGAAACAGGCTCCGTTCTTCTCTGGGCCTCCTGCTTGAGGCGCAGGATTCAAGAGGACTCCCCGCCCCCGCCCCCCATGTATTTATTTATTTATTTATTTATTTATTGTAAGGGATGGGCCCGTGTATGACGGCACTCCTGTGGGGGCCAAAGGACAATTTCAGCCCTCTTCTACCGTGTGGTCTCGGGGGGGGGGGGGTCCCCGCGTGAGTTTAGCCGCAAGCACTCTGACCTGCTGAGGCCCCCATGTGTTGAAGCTGTGCGACCACCACTACATTTGTTTCTAGAATATTTCAGCACCCCCAAAAGGAGCCCCATGCCCAGTAGCAATCGCTCCCGCATTTCCCAGTTCCCCCCAGTATTAAGCAACCCCTAACATACCTTCTGTCTGTATAGATCGGCCTACCCTGAACATTTAAATACTAGAACTATACGAGGTATGTGTGTTAGTGCAGGTGTGCACATACCTCGGTGTGTGTTTGGAGGTTAGGGTAGCTGTGTGCGGTCAGTTCTCTCCTTCCTCCACTGAAACTCAGGTCTTCAAGCCTCTTGACCAATTTTTTATTTTATTTTATTCTTGGAGACACAGTCTCACTATGTAGCCCTGGCTGGCCTTCAGCTCACCAAGACCCTCCAGCCTGTGCCTCCTGACTAATCCTGTGCTGGGATTAAAGGTGTGCGCCACCATGCCTGGCCCCTTAGCTACTTTGAAGTATCTATTTCATGGGCTTTGTTGTGCAGGCCAGACCTCTTCCCCTCTTGCAGAAACTGTGTAGCCATTGAATAACCAATCCCCTTCCCCCTTCTTCTCTTCTGGCTGTATAAGCGTGGTTGTTCTAGGTACCTGCCCTGAGTGCGCTCTCATAGCATCTGCTCTTTTCCGAATGGCTTATTGCACTTAGCGGGTTGCCCTCCAGAACATCTATGTCACGCATGCTCTAGGACATGCCAGGGTTTCCTTCCTGGCCCTTCCATGGGTCGAACGTGCCTTTGAGTGGTTTCACTAGAGTTTGTCTCTCCGGGGCAAATGACAGGCAGTTAAGTTGTTGCTATTTTTTGACCATCCATGAAGAGCGTTGCTGGGAACACTCAGTCTGTGCGGCTGTTTTCAGTTCTCTTGAGTCTGTGCTCCGGGTGGGGCATTTGAGTCATATGATAACTCTGTGTTCAACTTCTCCAAGAATTGAGACCTGTTTTCAAAGCCACCCTCTCACCAGGGAAGCACTGCATAAAGATTGCGATTGTTGCCGGCATGCCTTGTGTTTTGTTTATGTTTGTTTTTGGTGGTGGTGGGGGTGATGTTTTGACTTGAGTTTCTGGTTTTTTGTTTTGTTTTGTTTTGAAACAAGGTCTCATTTCATGCTGGTTAGCTTTGAACTGACCTTGGATGCTGGATCTTCCTGCCTCTACCTTCCCATCACAGGCTTGGGACACCAACCCAGGCTGCCAACACTTGTTAGTTTATTTTTCTTGCCCAGGCTAGAACCTGCAGAACAATGTCAAACAGAAGCTTTGAGCTTAGGGATCTTTGCTCATCTTTCACCATTAACTCTGATGTGCGCCCAGCGTGTTTGGTAGACATCTTGTCTCAGACTGAGAAGCTCCCTTCTATTCCTTGGGTGTCCCTCTCCTAAAAGGGTGTGTTGTGTTTTTTCTGCATCTATTGAGATTGGGTCTTGTTGTCATTTATTCTGTTTTTGCGTGTGTGCATGTGTGGGATGTGTGTGTGTGTGTGTGTGTGTGTGTGTGTGTGTGTGTGTGTGTGGTCATAAATATATATATTACATACATTGGTTACTGATTTCCACCTCTGCCCGGTGAGACTCAGTCTAGTTCTCCCCACTCTGAGCCCTTAAGGGTGGGTGGCACTTGACAGAACTGTGCACATCCACGTGTACACAGCAGCCCCCTGGGGTGACTGGTACCCGTGTAAATACTTATGACCCACAGTGCCACTTGAAATGAAGTCATTCCATTCTCTTGCTTTTGCAGGAAACAAAGGGGCGTCCTTTCGTGAGAGTCAGAAATGAGAGTGTCCCCGAAGGGCCGGTCTCTGTGAAAGGTCAGCAGCCTGGTGGCCTTGAGCTGGCCCGCTCCGCCTCTGTGCCCGGCTGTGGCGCCGGTTGCTCCGGTAGCAGAAGCCTGGGCAGCCATTCACTCTTAGGCAGCGCAGTCCTTGGCAATGACTCTGGGGAGTCGATTAGCATTGCTCCTGAAGTGAGAGTCCAGGATCTCTCAAAAGAATAGTAGAGAAGGAAAAGCCAGGAGATGCTGAGAGAGAAAGGGGGGGTCCATCGACAGAGGTGGGGCGCTCTCTGTGGGCTTGTGTACAGAGCACACATGCCTTGACCTGACGGTAGTTTAGTGCATCAACCCTTCTCCCCTGACTACCTTCCAAACACACACACACACACACACACACACACACACACACACACACACACACAGCAATGTAGAGCCCTCCCAAGTCTGGAAAATCTTTTCTGCTGGGTCATCAGTTGCCTGCTTTGTAATGACAGGTTTAATGATTTTTTTTTATAACTCTGAATTCCACGGGGACCACCTACCCAGAGGCCACACCCCACTGACCTGTACAACCAAAGCCCGCAAAACCAAGCCTGAGAAGCCCGGCCGGGCCTGAGGAGCTGGGCGAGCTGCCTTCTGCTCTGGCCCAGTCTGACTTTGCTGTGTGTCTCTGGCCATGCTACTCACCCTCTCCATAACTCAGGGCTCCAAGTTCTAAAACAGGCCTGATGGTTCTCGTCTCCTAGCAATGTAGGGAGAACAAAGTAAATTATGGTCTTCAAGGGCTTACGCAGCCGGGAGACGGGGGCTCCAGAAATCCGGTGTTTTCCTCCTGCTTGGGTTGAGATGGTGAGGGTTTTATGGGCTCTCTTATGCAAGTCCTTAGGAGGCATTTAATCAGAGAACAGACTGGGGAGAAGGCGAGCCTGCTTACGAAGGAGAGGGGCCTGGGAGAGTCTCCCTTCCATGGCTCCTTCCAGAAAGCCGGGCCGAATCTGCAGTGACTCCTGGCTGGCAGCCTGCAGCGGAGGTGGAGCTGATTAGGTGACTTGTTTTGCTAACTTTGGTGTCCCTTTCCAGGCCGATCTTTTTTTTTTTTCTGGGTCACTAGTTGGATGGGTCACAAGTTATGGGAGAAAAAGACAACATCCCGGCTGCCGAAGGCTGGCAGCTGGACAGTCTATTGACCAGCCTGCCCTGGCAGCAGGTGAGAGGAGAACCGTACGGAGGTGGGAAGGGGGGAGGAAGAAGGAGCGTGGCCTTTTTATTACTACTGTAGGTCACTAGTAAACCATGATTGGCCAGATCCGGTCCCTGTGGGCCTGCCCTCTGTGAGACAAGGTAGAGGGCAAGTTTCAGCTTCCCAGTCTGTCCCCGTTCCCCCCCACCCACCCACCCCACCCCCCCACCCCACCCCCCGTGGTCCTGGAGTATCAGGTGCCGAAGAATGGACTCTGGGTTTCTTGTCTTCACCAGGGTGCCTCGGGTTGGCCTTTGAACACTGTATTTTTCTCCTGATGCTGCTGTACAAATTACATCAAACTCCATAGCCTGACACATACTACATTTCTAAGGCCAGAAATCCAAAGTGGTCTTACCAGCCAAGAGTCAAGGTGTCTGCTTGGCTGTGTTTCTTCTCGGGGCTCCGAAGGGCATCCGTCTTGCTTTTCTAGCTTCCAGAAGCTATCACATTCTTGAGGTCCCTTCCTCTATCCTCAGAATACAAGAATTCCTCCCTGACTTGGGGCCTCCTGCCTTGGCCATGTGATGAGTCACGATGAGGTTTGGCCACAGCCTGTTCTATCCTTTGTTCTCCGTCCAGTATTTCTTCCCTGTACTTCTCCTTCTCGAACTTTCTATCTTGCTTTGTTTTCACCTGTATGGGTCTCAGTGTGACTCCAGGCCAGCCTCGAAGTGGTGTTCCTCCTTCCCAAGATTACAGGCGTGTGTCCCCACGCTCAGCTTCCTTCATAGTCCCTCCAAGGGACTTCCTGGGGATGGGAGATCATGTCAGGGAAGAAGCCTCGGGACAAGTCCATAGATTCTTAGTCTTGGGAACTTTTCCCTAGAACAGAGAAGCATCTGAATATGGGGTACTCTGGTCACTGGAAAGGCAAACCGTCCAGGAGTGTGAAGAAGAGGAACCCAGTGTGTGGGGGCTGTAAGAGACACAAGAATAAGGGCACAAACGGCTCACACGCTGATGTGACCTAGGCGTGTACTGGACGGCCTTCCCCTCCGCCTTGACTCCAAGGGTGACGTCACCAGAGCACCACCGCGCTTCCCATGCCTTCATGCTCTTATTTTTAGTTTGGGGTATTTTCTATTGTTTGAAGGTTGCCTTGCCACCCAAAGTTTGCCTGGAGGCTTTAAACAATATAGAGTTTCTTCGGGGAGCAGCAACAGTAACCAAGTAGCCCAGAGAGACCGAATATAAACTTTTAAGTCTTATTTTCTCAGAGTTTTGTGCACCAGCGATGGCTTACACAGAGGAGCGCGCGCGCGCACGGGGCCCCCAGCTCGCCTCTCCTGGGGGAGCGTGCGCGCGCCCGCGGGCCCCCAGCTCGCCTCTCCTGGGGGAGGGCCGAAGGGTGGCTGGTGGAACACTGTGCGTTCTTATCGTCTGTACTAGCGCGGTAGAAAAACAAAACATCTGCTATTAATACACCCCAGTCCTCCAGCGCATGGGCTGGATTTGATTATTTGTGAAAGGGGAGAGATGCCCCCCTCTGACCTTCCAGAGCTCTCCTGCCAGCAGAGACAGAGCTGCCAGAGGCGGTACCCTCCATGATAGGAAGGGGATGGGAACCAGGGCCTAGCTTTGGACAGGAAAGAGGAGCCTTCAGACTTCTCCCGAGAGAAGTGGTTTGCTGGGGTCGATGTGTCTGAAGCTGTGCAGCTTCGTTCAGAATTAAGAAAGAGCCGGGTGGTGGTGGCGCACGCCTTTAACCCCAGCACTCGGGAGGCAGAGGCAGGCGGATCTCTGTGAGTTCGAGGCCAGCCTGGGCTACCAAGTGAGTCCCAGGAAAGGCGCAAAGCTACACAGAGAAACCCTGTCTTGAAAAAACCAAAAAAAAAAAAAAGAAAAGAAAAGAAAAGAAAAGAAAAGAAAGAAGAGAAGAGAAGAAAAAAAAAAAAAACAGGCTCCCGCAGAAAGCTAGACAGGGAAGAGCCAGAGAACCCCACCTCCCCAGCAGACAGGCATCACCACGGCCATGTTTGTGTCCAGCTCCAGGAACCAGAGACCCAGGCAGCCTCACCAGGATCCTCAACCGAACTTACTTCCTTGGCAGTGAGCAAGGCCAAAAAGAGGACCGAGCTGGTCAAGAATGCTGTGCAGAACAGATGCAAGGTCCCCTCAGCCCTCACTCCTCCCAGTGACAGCGTCCAGGCTGGCAAGGGCTGCCACGATGACTGGTTAATGATCAGCCTTCAGCTGGCACCGAGCCGGGAAGCGGGGGGGAAGGGATCTGTTGTGGGGGCAGGAGCACACGCACCTAGACCCATCCTCCCTTCTGTGACACTGCAGAAGTTCGTTCCACAGTGCCCTAACTGCCTGAAGCAGTCTCTGCTTGTCACCCGCCAGAGTCAGGCTGCTGCCTCAGGCTCAGAGAACATTTGACCAGCCAGGAGCTCCCCGGCAGACACTAGAAGAACAGGGCAGTGCTAGCGGGGCCCAGCCCTCTTCCAAGAGCAAACAGGACAAAGGTCGCTGTACTCACAGCCGCCTATCCCATCCTGCCTGGCTCCGGTGCCACATGCCTCAGGTTGTCCCCGGCATTGCCACACCAGGTAGAAACGTCGCCTGTTGCTCGCCCCAGATCTCATTCCCCAGTGGGACGCGGTGCCGTCCTTAGTGGAAGCGATGGCGTCCAATCATCTTAAAACGGGGAAGCCGTCCTGTCTGGACACGTTTAGTTGGGGAGCCACACTTATGTGGGAGTAGGTACGAGAGGGAAGAGTTTTTAAGGAAAGCCTGTGCTCTGGCCTGCCAGCAAAAGTAGCTCTCTGTGGGAACAGGGCTCCCTGGGCACTCTTGAACTGACTGACAGTCTTCCATTGCCATCCAAGCTTGGCTTTGTCTCTCCTCCTGCAGGTCCAAGTATCCACTGGGCCTCTCTCTGAGAATTCAAATAAGTTGGAGGCCACAGAGTCTGCCAGGAGCAGGCAGGCCTGGCACTAGTTAGCCGGAGACAGAGCAAGAGAGAGCAGGCTTCGGCATTATGAATCGCCAAGGTCCTGGCCCACAGCCTTCTCGCTGGGATGGGGTGGGTATAGGGAGAGCTGTTGCTGTTTCTTCTTTGTCTGAGGATGGCCTTCAGCCCCTGAAATGGTGGGCATCTGGCCACGAGTACTCACCAGAGACTACACAGCGCACACCATGTGAATTCTCTCTTTGTTTGGTGGTGGTTTTATTTGTGTTTGTGTTTTGGGGACAGGGTCTCATGGAGCCCAGGCTGGCCTCAAACTCACTAGGTAGCGCCCAGGTTGACCTTGAACTCCTGGTCTTCCTGTCTCCATCTCCCGAGTGTTGGGATTACGGATGTGTCCCATCACCCCGAGGGTGTCACCTTGTTTAACTTCCCCCCGGGTGCCTATGAGTTGGACACAGCACTGACCCACTCACTAGTGAGGACGGAGGCGGCTCAGAGAAGTTCATCGGTTGTGTGTGAGCGCATGCACCCTGGTGACTGTGACTGTGACCTGCGAGGTCAGGAGGGAAGAATTGGAGGACAAGTCTCACTGAGGGCCATGGTCATGCACATAGCTTAGAAGCTATGGCTCCTGATTTCCTGATTTACGCTCCTCGACGCTGTCTGAGGAAGTTGTTTAGCTTCCGAGGTGATAGATGAGGGGCGGGTCTCCTGTTTGCAGAGCGTAGGTTGGAGGATAAGTCAGGACAGTTTCTCTCCTCTGGTCCCCGATGGCTGGGGCCGTGTTTACATCATCCTTTTGAAGGCACTGGGACCAGCACAGCCACTGGAAGCTCTCCCTTCCTCCAGCCACCCTCCCCGTGGAGAGAAGCCAGATGGAAGCGTTTCCCATCCATTTCCCTTGACACAGCCGGTAGGTACCCTCTAGAAACCCAAGACCCAGTGGAAGCCTGGCTCAGGCATGTTTCTGTAGACGCAGACACCTTCTGTGGCCACACCACCTCAGGCACAGGGGTGCCGTGCATCTCTGATGTCACACACACACACACACACACACACACACACACACACACACACACACGGAGCCAGCTGCCTGAAACACTTACTCTACAGATTGGGATGGGCGCAGCAGCTGGATGGGAGAGTGGGAGAGAATGCCTGGGGTTGGAGCATTTGTGTTCAGGGCTTTTTCTTTAAAAGTCTCTTAGAGATGGAGGGGGGGGCAGGACGGCTTCAGTGTTTTTACAGATGGGGAAGAGCCTCCCTCACATGCAGCTCTGAAAGGGTAATGTCAGCACCTCATCCCTGACAGTGAGTGTGCCACCAGCTAGCTGCCCCAGAGCCACTTAGGGTGCGCTTGTCCCTTCTATGGAGGACCCTGGTTCCCCTAGCCGTCCCCAGGAGCCACAAGACCACAGTCCAATGCCCCAGCTGTCAGCCTCGCCCACACTGCTCCTGAATTATACTCACTGGCCGTGGGCCCCAACTCTCCTGTTCCTGTGCCCCGACGTCCTCTGGTTAATAAGCAGCTCAAATAAAGACACCGAGGACTCTTTGGAGAGGCAGAGAAAGTCTGCGGCTCCCTGAGTGCAGGCCAGGGAGCCCTGGACTCAGCCCAGGATCTTGGGGGCCCGTTTGTGTTCTCTGCCCTTTGTAGCCTGCCTTGTGGGCTGCAGAGGATCCCCACCCAAAAGCCACAGTAGACAGCTAGGTGAGGCAGTGAGGTAGTTATTAATCATAGGAGGCATGCTGAAGCCTGAGGTCCCTTCCTGGAAGAGCCTTTGCTCTCCTTTCCGAGAGACCAGATCCACGAGGTCCCTCCAGTTCCAGCACAAGCCTCGCTCTCCGCTCTACAGGCCCTGGAAACCGTCCTGGTGGCTGTCTTCCCGCTCCCACCCATCTCCTGCACCGTGTAACCCCAGGACTTTTGGGTATGACCTTGAGATGTCCCCACAGAAGGAAGCACTGGAACTGTGTGTCAGACAACCACCTCTTGGTCTACATCCAACATCGTAAGGAGGGTCGGAGCCCCTCCTAGGACTTGCCCATTTTCAAGGTCATGGTCACCTTTGACACCGCCTACAGGGATCCCCGTTGCCAGCGGGACTGTTTTGTTGAAGCCCAGCAACATGACAGGTTGAACTTGAGCTCTCTAGACAAATGTTTCTCACTTAATCCTCCCCTGGGTTGGCCTCAGGTGGCTTTAGCCAAATTTATCGGACACCACTAGAGCCTGGAGGAAACATTGCCTTTGTTCCAGGCATTGTGTTGGAGTGGGAGTCCAGGGTAAACAAGGTGAAGTCCCTGTCCTGGAGGACAGACTGCCGGAGAAATAGTATAAAACAGAGGACCCCGCTGGGCAGTGGTGGCACAGGCCTTTAATCCCAGCACTCAGGAGGCAGAGCCAGGTGGATCTCTGTGAGTTCGAGGCCAGCCTGGTCTACAGAGCAAGATCCGAGACAGGTACCAAAACAACACAGAGAAACCCTGTCTGGGGGGGGGGGGAACAGAAAACAGAGGACCCACTCTTTCCTTCCTTGCCACTGCCACTTGTAATTTCTAGACTAGTTGTAAATCTCCAAGAGGGGGTTATTGGAGTCAGAGGTGGTAACTCAGGCCTGGAAACCCAGTACTGTGGAAGCTGAGGAAGGAAGGCCATGAGTTCAAGCCCAGCCTGAGCTAGAGAGCAGAGACAGTGAGCCCTTACTGCAAAATTGAATAGAAAGAGGCTGGCAAGATGTTCCACAGTAGACAGACACCTGCTGCCAAGCCTGATGACCTGAGTTTGACTCCCCCGGGGCCCACAGGTTGGAAGCAGAGAACTGACTCCTAAAAGCTGTCTTCTCTCTCCATGCTCTTCATGCTCTGTGGCAGATGCACATCCAAACACATCCACAAGAAATTAAAAAGGAGGAGGAGGAAGAAGAAGAGGAGGAGGAGGAGGGCTGGGGAGATGGCTCAGTGGTTAGGAGCTGCTCTTCCAGAGGACCCAGGCTCGATTCCCAGCACCCGCATGGTGATTCACAACCATCTGTAACTCCAGTAACAAGGGAATCCAACACATGTCTTCGAAGCTCCACACATGCACCATGGCACATGTGTGGACATAAACACATGTACAAGTGAATGTAATAAGAAAAAAAAATTACAGGCCTGGATTTGATACCCCACACTGCATAAACTGGATGTGGTAGCCCATACCTATAATCCCAGCACTCAGGAGATAAAGGCAGGGAGGTCAGGAGTTCAAGATCATTCTCAGCTACATATCAAGGCAGAGGCCAATGTAGGATCTGTAAGGCATTGTCTATAAATATATAAATAAATTTTATAAGAATAGGGTTGTGGCTCAGTAGTACAGCACTGATCTAAAATGCATGAGGCTCTGAATCCCATCCCAGCACCACAGATGGATTCATGGATAGATAGATAGATAGATAGATAGATAGATAGATAGATAGATAGATAGATACATACATACATACATACATACATACATACATACATACATACATACATAGATTGATACATAAATATATAGATACATAGATAGACCAACAAACAGAAAGAAAGATAGATGATAGATAGCCAGATAGATGATAGATAGATGGACAGACAGACAGATGATAGATAAGTTGATAGCTATTAAAGCTCCCAGACTCATAGCAAGAGCTCAAAAAGGGAAGTCTCTGGGAAGCCTTGAAGCCTGAAGACTCTGAAGCTCCAGGAAGGCAGAGGGAACTGGGAAAGAAGCAAGCATGCCCTTTATTAGCGAGGGCCCCTGTTCTCTCTGTTAATCCTTGACGCTTGACCTCCCTGGTTTGGTTCACATTCTCCCGGAGAAGAGCGTTCCCTGATAAAATGTTCCCTCCCTTGGTCCTCTGTGCCTCTTTATGGAGCACCAGGAGGCACAGGAGCTGTCCACACTTACGCCTCACCTGCCCGAGATGGGCATTCCGCTGCCCTAATCGCTCTCCACAGCTCACCCACCCGATCCCGACCCCTCCCATCCCACCCACCCCCATCTCGAGTTCTGTTCCCTCAGCTCCTTAATCAAATTAAGGGAAAGGAGAGGGTTTAGATAGGGTTGCTAAATATATTTCTGTTTAGGGGATGGGGGGGGGGGGAGAAGAGCTGGAGAGGAAAGAGAGTGTGAAATTCCTTAATGGAATGTGTCCTGAGCCTCCTTTCCCTAGAGTGAGCCCGCCCCGGATCACCTCCCTGTGGTTAAGTGCTTGTACGGACATTATCTCCCGGAGATATGGCCGGTGGCATTGCGCCCACCCAGGGAAAGGTCTGCTGAGGCCATCGGGCCCTGTGAGCTGGTCTGACCCTGG